TATATATATATATGTTAACCGAGTGATTGATTTATTTTATTGATAAATTTTATTTACATGATCTTATTTTTTGTTCTTTCATTTCTAAATGTCAAATGACTAAATGTCATATCACTTAATATAAATAAATGCTAAAATTCAATAGTTAATAGATGTTAATTTGAGAAAAAAAATTAAAATTTAATATTTTTAAAATTAAAGATATTAAATGTCTATTTTAAAATAGAAAATTGAAAGACAAAAATAAAGAAAAAAAGTGCAATTTAATCAAATATTTATAACTGTATATAAGATAATATTTTTTAAAAAAATTTGTTTTATAAAGTATATATACGATGACATAATTTTTTTAATAAAATTTTGAAGTATTTAATTCAGGTTGAATTATTTAATTGGATGACAAACTTTTTATAACAATATCTTTTTACAACACAATATTTTTTAGTTTAATTTTGTCTTGCAACACACGTATATTGACATATAACTGATGCGTGATAAAAAGGGTAACGACATTATTTGCGGATGATTTTGACTATCGAGAGAAAAAAGCTGTGTTATAATTAAAAAGGAAGATATTTTGCACACATAAGAAGTGTTTATGACACCTAAAAATAGGGAAAAAGGAAAACTAAATGATGTGATATAATTAATGATGCGATAATAAAAGAGAAGAAGAAATTCATGTATTAAAAACATGTCCATTCTTCATCTTTTGTAGTCTTTTTTATTTTTATAAAAAGATTCAAAACTTCTTTTATATTAATTTATTAATAATTATACTTATACAGTTTTTTCATCTTTTTTCCTGTATTCTTTTAATCTTTTATTACATCCATTCCAAAATAGCTTGCTCTTAATAGGTGAGTACTTACTGATGAAGCATGAACCTAATGAATCTCCAATAACAAGTGTTATGCAAAACATGTTAAAATTTCGAACGAAATTTCCACCGACTATCATATTGTTAAGGCAGAGATTTTCATATCAATTAAAAATCACTTAGCTTTAAACATAATTTAAAAATAATTATTACAAGATTTAACCATCTACATTTAATACGTACTATACATTAACGTAAGAAAAAGAACATTTGTCCATACAAAGAAAGAGAGACTACATCAAGGCAATGTTTACAAAATTTAATGATAATACACTTTTAACTAGTTATTCTGCCATAATTCGTCATAAATGATATATAAATTAATTTATATAATAATTATCCAAAAAATCATATAAACCATTATTAATAGACTGTATGGCAGTATATCACCATTAAATGTTTAAATAGGTAAAGTATTAATATTTTCTTGGAAATTTGATTCGAGTAAAATGGAAAATAAAAAATAAGTGAACGTAGAAATAGTAGATGCTCAGACTTTGAAGGTCCATGTGAGTTAAGTCAGATTATTTAGCCGAAGTAGCATGTCTGTATTCTTCTCTTCTTTTGACAAATATTGGAAGCTAGTTGTAAGCACAAGAAGGAAACAAAGCATACATGCAAATTAAGTAATGCATGCAAAGACTAATAATTCATACGGCGGTAAAGAATCTTTCAGTTGAACTATTGACCTTCACGTGTTTCTTTTCAGTGTCCTTCACATGAAATCCCCATCCTCAACTTTTATATATATTTCTTGGGAACTGAGCTTAGGACAAATGGTTTCATCCCACTTCGAAGATTAATGTTGTTAGAGAGATTAGTAGAAGATTTAATGAAATTCACCACTTAGCTAGCTAGGTTACTTGGAGAAAAGTTAGGCCTGAGAGTTTGTCCCCCTTTTGGTCTCCTATCATGTTAGCAAAACTTGTCTCTTTTAATCCAATAAATGATGCTTTTAGTCCTTATTATTCTAATCTAATATCATCATATCCAATCAAATGATGCTCTACTCCTTGTTATTCTAATTATATTCAATATCTTATACACACTCAACGCTCAAGGCTCATTTTACTATGTCAGATCGAGAAATCCTCTAATTTATTTTTTGGGTGGCATGGCATGCATGAATCTTGCTCAAAACGTAACACGGTAATCTCTCTTGTAAACGTTGAATTACTTTGTTTAATTCTGTGGAATGTGGTTGTTCTCTATTGCTTAAGTTATGATTTTAGTAACAAGTTAGGCAGTGGAAATATAAAAAAGATTCTACACTGACAAGAACAGAACATATCCAACTCATGATCATGTTTGATTAAGATAAAAGAAAGCGTGATATACCAGCATATCATAGCACGACATACTTTGTTTTTATCAACACAAATCATATTTTTCGTGAACATAAACACGCCATAGCATAGGTTGAATCTAACATCAAACATAACATGACAGAAACTGTAACACCAATGATATGTACTCCAGGTTCAATTCGAGTCATCGGTTGTCCTTTCTCAAAGTTATCTACTTCATTTTCTTCATCCCTATATGGGGGAAAACTTTTTTCTTCTTTGGGTTAATATTATTGCCGTGTGAACGGATGCTTGCAGTTGTTGAAACCCTAGCACAAGGGTGATCATGGCTTCATAATTAAGGTCACTCTTAGAAGAGAATCTAATCCCATTTTCTCGAGACATTCGAATCTCAATATTTTAAAAGAGAATACTTTATAGCCTTCACTAGGTTGGCGAAAAAATAATGTACAACCCTAGTTAACTCATCTCCATGACTTCTTTGCCAACTTAATTATCAATGAATAGCCAACCTCGGTTACCAACAACGATTTTAAAGTGCGTGATTAGGGAAATTTCCTCACCTCCTTGCTTAACATAATCACTTGAATGTTCACGATTACTTATGTGTTGTTATTTTATTTTATTTATATTTATATTTATATTTATAATTATGATATTAATATGAAATATTAATAATTAATTTCTATCAGAAATTGTGAGAGTACATAAAGTGAATATATTTTTTTTTAATATAATTTATTTCATATTTAAGATCAAGATTCGAATCCTGAATAATTTAATTAAAAGACATAATCACCTACTACTTATATAAACTAATATTAATCTTATGTGTTGTTAATAAATTACACTATATAACTAATCAACAAAGTGAATAGAAAAGATATATGTTTTGTTTAGCACCAACCCAAGGTTAGAAATATTTGTGGTATAATCTTTGGGAATTATGTACAAGCCAAACACTGATGTGTGATCAGCTACAAGGACTTTGATGTTTAGGTTAATTAGAATTAGAATGCAGAAGATGACAAAAATATATAGAATATTAGAGTATACCATGCTGGTCAGTTTAGTAAATTTTGGAAATTAAATTTTCGGGACATCTACAAATTCTACGAAAATTAATGCCTTCCGAAAATTAGTTTTTAGGATGAGTAATTTTATAATGAAAAATACAATTTTCCATAAAAGGAAAAGAATAAAAAAATATTGCTCTAATATTTTAATTAGAAATTTTAGGATGAGTAAAGACATGCATAAGGTGCGAAGAGAAAAAGTAAAGTATAACAAGAAATATTCTAACATGTTTACTGATATGGGCAAAGCTGAACCTAGCTAATATGGGCTCAAAGCTTGATCAAAGTTGTGGGTATAATGCATAACCGGTTAATTTAGATCACATTGATCATCCCAACTCACTATAGAAAAGAAAAACGGTCTCATGATCACTCAAGTAAGCAAGAAAAACAAAAAAGCGAAAAGGTTGAGTATAATATTGACACATGTGCAGGCCAAAGTACAGGACGAATGGTAATGATCTTTTGATCAAAAAAATGAAGGTGTAGGTAAGAAAAATGACACACAATCTTTTGAAACTCACACGACTTTTGTTATTCTCGACTTAAATGTTTTATAATAGCTTACATGAAAAACATAATTATAAGCATTAAACAAGGTTGTAACAAGGTCAATGAGACAGTTACTTTAGGTTCTAAGATCCCATTATAGCATTGACAGTGTTCCATTTAAATTCCATGTACTGTCCAAGGTACTAACCCACATGGCAACCAATTATAAACTCCTTTAGGGAAAAAGTAAACAAGTCTCTTTTAGAAGTATAATTACTCTTTTGAACTTTATTTTATCTAGTTTGCCTATGTATTTCTTATCTTTGTATCATATGCCAACTAAAGTGGCTTAGGGTTTAGGGTTTAGGGTTTATTCCACAGAAAGGTCTCAGGCAGGGTGATCCACTAGCACCGTTCCTGTTCACTATCGTGGCTGAAGGCCTTACAGGGCTCATGAGGATGGCAACTTCTAAAGGTAAATTTGCTGGGTATCAAGTCGGGGAGAAAAAGGTGCCAATCAGCTTATTACAGTATGCATATGACACAATTTTTATCGGAGAGGCAACCATGGAAAATGTAATTACAGTCAAGTGCCTCATGAGGAGTTTTGAATTGACATCAGGACTCAAAGTCAACTTTCACAAAAGCAGTGTAGGCATTTTAGGTGTGAACAACAGTCTTACAGAAAGGTATGCAGACTTGCTAAATTGCAAATCACTCCACTTTCCATTCTCATACTTGGGTCTGCCAATCGGGGCCTCAGCTAGGAGTTCAATTACATGGAAACCGGTACTGCAGAAGATTAAAGATAAGCTTGCCAATTGGAAACACAGGTTCGTATCTATGGCTGGGAGAGTCTGTTTGATTAACTCAGTGCTATCAGCTATCCCCCTCTATTACTTGTCTTTCCTTAGGATGCCAGCATTAGTACATAAAAAGTTGATAGCTATTCAAAGGCGATTTCTTTGGGGCATGGACGAAGGGACAAAGAAAATCTGCTGGGTAAAGTGGGAAACGATCACGTCTCCAAAAAGTCTAGGAGGGTTGGGGATAAAGGACATGAAATGTTTCAATGCCTCTCTACTTGCAAAGTGGCGATGGAACTTATTCTATCAAAAAGATACCTTGTGGAGTCGCATCCTTGACTCAAAATATGGTGGCCATGGTAGCTTGGGAGGGGGGCAACGAGGTCGACAACATAGATTCTGGTCTGAGTGGTGGAGGGATCTACAGAAATGTTGTGGAAGTCATGAGCAGTCACAATGGTTTGATAAAATTAAGAGGTGGAAAATTGGGAATGAGGGTGAAATTAACTTCTGGGAGGATGTGTGGATAGGAGAAGAAAGTTTGTTGCAAAAGGTTCCTCGGGTGTATGTCAACTCAAAGCAACAAAGTTATAAGCTGGCTGACATGGGCTGCTGGGAGGGAGAGGATTGGCACTGGCAATTCCAATGGAGAAGAAACTGGCTAGAGAGAGATCAAGAGAAATGGATATTCTTTCAACATGCAGTCTCCACAGTGGCCTTGCAAAAACATGCTAAGGATAGATGGGGGTGGCCTATTGATAAGTCAGGATGCTTCTCGGGCAGCTCTACCTACAAGGCATTACATGATCTCAAGTACAATGGTCAGGTGGACGACTTATTGGCTCACATTTGGCATCTGAAAATCCCACCTAAAGTTGCGATCTTGCAATAGCGTCTACTACATAATGCTCTTCCTTCAGTTGATAATCTTCTAAGAAGAGGCATCGTCTTGCCTCCTCTAGACTCAATGTGTGTGATGTGCAATGAGCAACCAGAGACATTACCGCATCTCTTTTTCAGCTGCCCAATTGCTGACCAATTGTGGAAGTACTGTTTTTCTTGGGCTTCTATCAGCACAGTCCAGCCTCAAACAATGAGGCTACATTATTGTCAGTACCCACAACTATGTTCTGGTCTTCGCCAAATGAAGGGTTGGGATATTGTTAGGAGTGTTGTTGTATGGTGTATTTGGAATGGGCGAAACAACAAGATTTTCAGAGGAAGGGTGACTGCGCTAGAGGAATTGAAAGTCAACTTACACCTTACTGTGTGGTTGTGAAATGGGTGGAGAAGTCAAGTCTGAGATTTGATATGGTGGCCAGGCGTACCTACCGGGCTACATGTGCTCTCTATTGGGATAAATTATACCTAAATATGTAGACCTTCTTGATTGCTGCCTAGCTTTGCTCATAAACTAACTATACCTTACCTTGTTTTTCACTGTAATTGTGGGTTTGTGGCACCCCTAATGCCACATATTCAATATATTATTGGCTGTTTCAAAAAAAAAAAGTGGCTTAGGTACTAGCGGGTATTCAACGAAAATTTTGAAAGTGGGTTGGATGAAGCTAAAAAAATTACATGAATTAGATGAAATTTGTCAGCCCAAAGAATAGGAAGCTCTAGGGGTAAAAACTTAATTGGTGTTTAATCTTAACCTGCTTGCAAAGTAGAAACGATGTTGTCTACACGATAATTAGACAATTTGGTATAACATTGTCAAACACAAATATGGTGAATTAGATAGGGTGTATCAAGCTTTGCTCTTCTATGTTTTTCAAAAAAATATGGCTAGGAAAGTGAGAGGGAATCTACGAAAGATTATAGAACAACTCGAAGTGATATTTAAATTGAAGTGTCGCTGATACTGTTATAATATAACAAATATCATTTTGGAGCAAAACCTACCATGAAGTTGAGATGGCCGAGTTGGTCTAAGGCGCCAGATTAAGGTTCTGGTCCGAAAGGGCGTGGGTTCAAATCCCACTCTCAACAAAATTTGACTCCATGGCCCAATGGATAAGGCGCTGGTCTACGGAACCAGAGATTCTGGGTTCGATCCCCAGTGGAGTCGCTTTTCTTTTCAAAAATATAATAATTTTTCGTTTATGAAGCTTCTACACATTGGAAGTAATTATAGTTTTTTTTATATTTTATTTTGTTGAACACAAAACATAATAAATTACAACCTTCGGTTGTTGAAGATATTATAAGATTTAAGGTTGTTGAATAATTTGTTTGTATTGATATAAAAACTACATACTTGTAGGAAAGTTGCTACTTGAAACTGATTCATATTGACTTGTTATTTATTTTAACACGACTATCCTTGTCTGGTAAACCATTGTAGGTCCTCATGATTCATATTACCCTGTGGCAGATTAATCATTGGTGCATGGTTTTTCAGCTTGCATCATTGCAAATGATATATTATTCTGGAGTCAGAGATGTTCCCTGACCATGTCCAAGTCAAGACATGTATCATGTAATCACAAATTGTCTTCTCTTCCAATCCTTTTTCAGTAAGATTTTCGAGGAAACATCAACTTAAATCCTAAAGAAGGAGCATGGCAATGTAAGGATCTTATCTTAATCTACTTGACATCAAAGGACATTTTCTTATTATTTATGTTGATATTTCAATATATACTCATCACTAATTGGTACATTTCTTTGCAACTTCTGACAATTAAAATAATCAGATAATTAAAATGCGGAGTAACTTCTTTTAATTATTAAGTTCCTGCAATTTATATACCAAGACAAGCTATAGAAGTTAGTCTTAGTTAGAGGCATTACAGTAAGTATTTGCAACAAAATGTATCCTATAGTGAATGAACATGATGAGGTATATCCAGCTCATCATAGCCATCCAAACTATGTTATACCAGTGGTGCCTCCAAGTTATGGCACTCCACAACCAATACAACCTTATGCTCCTCCATACATCACCACCAGTGGCAGTGTCAACACACACAGATGGTCAACTGGTCTTTGCCGTTGTCTTGATGATCCTGGAAGCTGTAAGAACCCAAAAATCATGTGGATTCATTATTTTTCTGCGGTATAAACATCAAGCAATTGACACACTATATGGTTGTTCATTTTCTAAGGTTTCGTCACTTGCTTCTGCCCTTGCGTTACATTTGGATTGATTGCTGAGATAATAGATAAAGGCAATACAAGTAAGCTTTTATATTAAACATTATATATACATATATTATGGGCATATTTGGATAAATTTCTATAAAAACACTTCTAGAAGAAAAAAAATGAAATAAGTTTCTCTATAAACTAACACTAACTTATGTATAAGTTTATTTGTAATTTTTTGGAAAATTTATATGAAAGAATTCTTATAAATTATAGCTTATAAATAAGTTAATTTTAGTTTATGAAGAAACATATTTCACTTGTTCTTTCAATTTTTTCTTGATAGAAGTCTTTCCGGATATGTTTAATGTCCAAATAAGCTCTATGATCATTACAATATAGGAGGGGATGACTCAATGGTTATATCTATTGCTATTTTTTGTTTCAATATTTGCAGCTTGCACTTGTCATGGGGCTATTTATGGGACGCTACTATCTCTGACTGGGCTTGCATGCTTGTATTCGTGCTATTATCGGTCCAAATTGAGGGCACAATATAACTTACCAGAGGCTCCTTGTATGGACTGTTTAGTTCATTTCTGTTGTGAAACTTGTGCTCTATGTCAAGAGTATAGAGAGCTTAAAAACCGGGGATTTGACTTGAGCATAGGTAATATCTCTAATTTGTGATCGACAAATATAGTGTCATTTCATCAATTTCAGGATCTTTAATTACTTTCTTGATGATCCTATTTTTTTCCCCACTAATCTCCATGTTTCTTTTCAAATTTTGTTTTTTATGTACGAGGGTGAGAATCTTGGTGAATTGTCAGATATCATATGGGTTTGCTGGCTAATAACGCCTTTGAATCTTTGTTCTATAAGTGCAGTTTACAAATTACTATTATAATTAGCTTGATCTATTATATGAATTTTCTTTGGGACAAGATTGCATCTCCACTTTTAATTAGAGAACAAGATAAAAAAAAAAACATTTGAGGTACTATTTTATTGAATCTGATTGGACGGATGAAAAATTACATGTTTTATTTTGTGATAGATTGACTTCTTTTTTTCCATGATTAGAATTAATCATTTGAGCTGTCTTGATATAATTAAATCTTTGTCATCTTTCACCCTTTAGATCTTACTTTGAGCTAGAGTTCTACGTGCCGATACAAAAGGGTAACAAATGAAACATAAAATTCCACTTTGTAGGTTTAGTTTGATCATTGATGGTTATTTCTGAGCACTTCTTTCTCATTCAAAATGATATGAAACTGACTTCTTGTTGAAATATATTTAGGCTGGGACGCCAACGTGGAAAGACAAGGGCAAGGAGTTACAGTAGCACCAGTAATTTCACAATCTATGAGAAGATGAAAACTGAAACATTTTTAGGATCTTTTGTCGCTACCCTGAGAGCTGGTGGTGCTGTTAATTTCAATTCTCAAATCCTTTATGCATATTCTGTTTGCTGTTTTTGTTTGAGTGTTTTTAATTTTTATTATTCAAAAGATATAAAAAAAATTGTGTCATTCTAATCCGCAAGTATCAGGCTCCATTCCAGTTCCAATCTCAAATTTTAGTCTTATCAGTCTGTAATCCAAAAATTGAAATATTTTTATGTATATTATTACTATTTATTTATTTTAATAATATATTTAAATGTTAAAAATAACCCTATATAAATAATGGGTTTTTTTTAAGTCCTCACCGTAGAAATTACCAACATTATAAACAAGTCAAAAGTAAACGTTATATTTTCAAATAAACCAATCACAATTTTGGACTCATTTAATTAAATAAATCAAGTGAGAGTTAGTATCACATATAATGTATAATGTATTCGGTACATGGTAGGGATGCGGTTTTTCACATAAAAAATGGGAAAGCAAATAGTTTAACTTTTCACTGGTTTGAAAAAAATTGACGTGATTTCTCACTTTTAAAATGGGTGTCCAAACAAACATGTGCATAATTTATATATAATACAAATATTTCAAATTTCATTTCTTAAAAAAAAATTCTGTAGACTAACAAATACTTCTTCTATACAATTTTTTTAATTTACTATTTATATTAGAGAAAATAGATAGATAATCTAAAATAATTTTATATTATTATCTAATTACAAATTATCATGAATTACAAGTATGTTGACTTTTTGTAGTAATAATATTTTTTTTATTGAATTGGTAGCAAATATTAAATAAAAATGATAATGTGGATTGAGTTCCATATTCAACCCGTCAACCCACCTATTTTGGTGAGTTGAGTATGATAAATAAATTCATTAACTCATTGCATCTAACTTATCAACTCGATAGGTTAACTCGTATGAATATACTTTTCTTTTGTTTTATGTTCTTAAAAGATAAGTTTGTAGTGAATTTATATTAGATCAATACTTTGATTTTATTGCATTATTTTGCTTTCTAGGTAATTATTCTCATTTTATATAAAATATAAATATATTATTTTACTCACATATTTTTTAACAGTACATTTTTTATGTATAATCTCTTTTTTCAATAAAAATATTTATTATTTTGGTCATTTGCTTGAAAAAATATAGTGTATCTCATCAATTTTACAATTAATAATATATATTAAAGTAATAATATATCTTAATTTATCAAATGCACCATTTTTAACTCGTTAACTTACTAAAATGGGTCAATTTTAAGTATATTCACTCATTTTACCACTCCTAATAAAGTTTAATTATAGTTATAGATACATAATATTTTATTTATTATAATGTAGATAAGTTATATATATA